TTTTTCTTTTTTTTTTTTTTTTTAGTTTAAAGCTCCTTAATTATGAGTTATGAGAAATTAATTAAATGTTTTAATGCGGCAGTTAAGAGGTTTGTTGGTGATGTGAGGTTTTTTATACAAATCAGCACCTCTATATATAGATAGACTGTTCTACAAATTATTCAACCATCTAACTAAAAGCCTCACATTATTACTCGATTTAATAATTTGAAATTGAAATATTACTCCAGGGATAGAAAGACAGATAAGTACATACTGATTATTTTCCTTTAACAATCACAGAACTGATTATTGAATCGCATTTTGATCAATAATCATACTCATAACAATTATAAGCCGCCATTAATTAATAATAGCCATTTAATAATAACATATTGGGAATCATCAAGTATGCAAGCCACCTAATAAACCATTAACTCTGTGTGTGTGTGTGTGTGTGTGGGCCTTAACCATAAGCCTGATTTTAGGAGATCTTGTGGCTTTAGCCCAATTTTTAGGACCCCTGCATTGAGCTTTTCGGATTGAACAGCCCATGTATATAGGCTCTCATTTCATTCCCAAAAGTATACTTAGACCTTCAATTATTTTCAATTTGAGGACTTCATTTTCTTGACCTTTTTGGGTTATGTAAGAGGCTCGCATATTCCCTGGCTAGCTAATAGCTTCTTTTAAATTTTTTAATTTTAAAAAATATAGCGAACAACTTCATGTTCTTAACACCATGGATTCACTTAACAAGATCTCTTTAATTTATAAGAATCAAGATCTCTTTTTTTTTTTCTTTTGCCTGATATAAGAATCAAGATCTCGATATATAGTACATAGTTGCAGTACGTTTTAATCTTAGAAATATTTCTCGAGAAGTTATGATCACTTCAAAAAAAAAAATTGCATAGCAACGCAACACAAAAATACGGGTTATGAAATCTTTTTCACCTAACGTTGACTGGGGAAAAAAAATCGCTTCTCCAATTAATACTTCTGAGGGGGGAAAAAACCACTTTAACCACTATTTAATATAAAATCTATATACAAAGATTCATAAAATATGTCTTTGTCCTTCTTGTAATAACTTCCCAAACAAAAATGACATATCATGAAAGACGTGTAGTATCCCTTGATTAATTAAACCATTTTCATGAGAGTTCTTTTTTTTTTTTGGATTATTTATAGGAACTCGTGATAGGATCGCTACCTGCAAAATATTTGATAAATATTCAATGAGATATTGAGATCACGGGTAAAGAGAAGAACGGATGTGTAGAAAAAGAGATGCCAGTATACTCAAAATATATTTATATGAAGTTGATGGTCCACCTATTCAGGATATTATAAAAAGATGCTATCAGTTTAACATTTATTAACTTCTCTGAACATACGATCAGAAGTCACAATCCAATCTCGCATTAAAACGTCTCTAATTTTTTGAAGAGGATTTGAAAGAGGATGATGAGTATGAGAAGATTGGTTGTAGATGAGCATGGATGCTTCAATGGAGTACAAATAGCCGGTAGCTTTTAACAAATAGTATGTCCTTTTAGGATACCCAATAGCCCAGTTAAAATGGTCCCGTACGCTACAGATGTATAAATCTAAATGGTTCTATTTAACAGTCACATAACACATCATTCTCTTCTTCACTAAGCTACTGTAAATATTCAATTGAAAAACGGGATTCAGGTACATACTTAGGATCGAGAAGAATGCTTGGAACAATTTTAAAATATATATATATTGAGGCTCATTAATTGAGTGCTCGGATTCTGCTCTGATTTCCCTCAATTTAAGGTTGTGCATGTCAAGGAGGGGAAGGGGCAAAAACCGTACGTAAATACTAATAAATTAGTGCCGCATTACCTTTTCCCTAACTTTTCAGACAAAAACTATGACTCTGCTTCATACAAATTCTAAAGAGATTAAATTGATACACATGTCTGCACGCACCCACGAGCACATATGTGTGTTTTCCCAAAATGGGAAAATAGATTTTCTGTGCTAAAAAATAGTTTTTTTGTGTGTAAATTTTGGTGGAAAAATTTGCAAATGTATTTTTTTTTTTTAATTTTGTCCTTGTTCGGATAAACTTGCGAGATTTGCAATCAAGGATGCCTTCCACAACCCATAAATTCACGAGGGATCTTTGGATTTTAACCAATTTTTTTTTAAAAGAAATGGATTGAGAAGATCGCACCCACTAAGCTCTCTCGAAAATTTCAGTTTCCATCTCCCTATAGTTTTTGTATGGCAAATCGCAATAAATAAAACATATATATAACTGAAATAACTTTATACTCACTTTATGAAACACATAAATTAATAGGGAATGTAGTTTTGATCGGAAAAAGAGCTGACTTTTTGTGTTATATTAACATTAACCTTCTCCTAGAGATGCAAGCTTAATTGAAACACTAAATATGGATTAACTCTATAAACACACTAATCAAGGCCACAGCTCACAAGGGTATCACGTCCGTTTATATTGTTTTAAACTTTGATGCGCAATGTCTTGCGGTTGAAGCATATAGTACTATATATTCTTATTCTGATGACAAAACGAATCATAAAATTCGTAACATTATAGTATTCGAGATATTTTAGGCGCACCAACGTGGATGTCTGGAAACCATGCATTGGACTTGGACTAGTTTATTGAAATATTTTGGAATGCGTTATTTGATGTTGGAATATGGATCAACACGTACCTTTCTGTCTTGCAAAAAAAAACTCATAGGTCGTATATACTTTTCCTTCTAAGATATATCTTTCTCGTATGGCCAATCATTGTTATCTACTTGAACACTAAAAAGATAAGGGATTTCTGTCCGAATTTTTCTTGTTATGTGCTGTCTAAATTTAACATTTTCACAAATCTTCTCTAATGCCCTTTCTGAATACTCGACAGCAAGTATTTTTTTTCCCCTGAAAAAAGGAGCTATTAAAATTTTTTTTAGTTAGAGAATACTAACTCCAAAAATCGACGTTGATATATATTACGAGCATCACAAGCTAAGAATTGAAGACGTACGTACATGTTCACCTGTCCAAAGATATTTTGGCAGAGCCAAGGAAGGTGGCAAGGAAATTATCGTAAGTAGCAGCTTATGACTCCTTTTTATATTCAAGAAATTATTGTTTGAAGAGGAGACGACTTTTGAAATGTGCTTGAGGAAATGATGCAGTGTGGGAAAATCACATGTTCATTCGTTGAATATATATATTCCTTTGTTCATATTTTCTCTCCTTAACTTATAGTAATTTAACTTCATAATAATATACACGCTATAAACTCATCGTTGTGAATTTAATGTTCAGTATGCCTTATCAGTGCATCATCGGTTTCTTTGATGTGCGCAGAATGCAGAAAAATAAAAGCCTTATGCTGTGCTAACAATCCCATGAGTCGTAATGTGTGCTATATGTTTGTTAAATTACTTTAAGATTAAATTTAATCCAAGTAAGGTGGTCTAATATCAGATGCTGGGGCTGTAATTAAGAAGACGCGAGATGATCGGACGTGGAAGGTCCAGAAAAAAGAAAAGGGCTGACGGGACGTGATTATCTAGAGGGAGGACAAGTGGACAAGGCGCATGTGGGGGGAGGAGATCACGTGACAAGGATCAGGCAGCACGTGGAGGCCCGGGCTTCCCGTCCCGCTCCCCTCCTCTTTCCGTTGTGGGATGCGACATTCGTGGCGACCCTGCCTTGCCGCCGATATTCAATTCTCTGCTCTAATTAATTACTTATCAATCTTCTCCGACCATTAATTTTTTAGGTCGGTGACTTTCCATGTGCTCCTCATTATTACTCCTTCCATAACCTTTAACCCCCGATCCTCTCTTCTCCCATTAACTGACCCATGACATATGCGGGTGACAAGTGTCCCGTCGCATATACCATATAGTTTTCCATAGACTAAGTTAGGTCAAATTCAAAATAACTCTTAAAAATAATTTCTTCATTCATATAAATTCATATTCGATAACTCGCACTTAAATAGCCAAAAACCTATATTCACTGAGAGCAAAGCCTGCTAGTTATATATAGTCATATTATATTTTGCCTCCAGATGCTTCTAATTAATAGTTTTGAAAACATTAACGTCGTTTTTACTTCAAAGTGGTATGCATAACCAGTGGAGATCTGGTCTAGTGAAAATGGCTAATCTATCACAATATAATAAATAAATGTTTGAATCTTTGTGGTGAAAGATTTCTATATTCAGTAATCCATAATATGTCAAATACGATTATCTCCAATAAAAAAAATAATTATGCTTAGGAAAAAAACAAAGTGGCATGCGGCGTAATGAAATAGGTTGGGTCTAATGAATAGAATTGGCTTTTCTTTAGGCTGTTGTAATTTGTTGATTTTTTTGGTTACTAAATGATATTTCCCATTTTCCAAATATAAAGAGTAATAATTGCTATAATATTCATTATATAATAAAATAAAAATAATGAGGACTAAGAAGAGGACGAGATCTTGGATGGATACATTTATTCTTATGGTTTTTTGGAATATAAAATCATTTTTACTTTTCTTTCTTCGAATCCATAAAGTTTATTTTAAATGCATGCATTGTAAAATATTGTTGATAAAACTAATTATAATGGTGACTAATGTTAACGGGATTTTTTTCAAAATTAAAATTACTCAAATCATATACTATGAGATTACCAATATTATAAAGACAGATTGAACAGACTAATCCTTTGAAGCCCCATCCCGTTTGCATGAGATTAATTAACTGAGATATTCTGTCAGTCTTTATTATTATTAATCAACAACATATGTATTTTTTAATATAACAATATAAATTATTCCATTTCTGCGATCGATGACCAGTTTTTTAACATCCACGTGTACCTCTGACCTTATTTCGACGCAATTCATGCATGCACTAGTATTTATACCAACGTTGCCCAGCACTCTTCACTCAAATCATTCCACTCTCCTTCATATTCACCAACTCTCGTGCCTTTGTTCTTTCTTCATACCAAATGGCCTTTTCTCCATCATCTTCTTCGGACACAACCTGGTGGCTCTTCACACTTCCAGCCATAACAGGAACCCACCACTACTCCCATGACACTTTCCTTCTCTTCTTCGTCCCTTTGCTTCTTTTCTTATTAGGGTTCCTTTCATGGACTTTCTCTTCTGGAGGCCTAGCTTGGAAAAATGGCAGGACCATCTTGGGTCGGGTCGCTATACCAGGACCCAGAGGTGTCCCTATATTTGGCAGCTTATTCAGTTTGAGCTACGGCTTGGCTCATCGTACTCTTGCTTCTTTGGCTAACTCCCTAGCCGCCAAACAGCTCATGGCTTTCAGCTTGGGCTCAGTCCCGGCCGCCATCACTTCCGATCCTCACATAGCACGCGAAATTCTGACGTCACCCCACTTTGCCGACCGCCCCGTCAAGCAATCGGCCAAGACCCTCATGTTCAGCCGAGCCATTGGGTTTGCTCCAAATGGCTCTTACTGGCGGCTGCTCCGTAGGATCGCCTCCGCTCATCTCTTCTCACCGAGGCGCATTGCCGCCCATGAGACTGGCCGTCTCCTCGACTGCTCCACCATGTTACGAGCCATAGCTGCTGAGCAGTCCGAAAACGGCGTCGTTGCCTTAAGGAAACATCTTCAAGCTGCGGCTCTTAATAACATCATGGGCACCGTTTTTGGTAAAAGATATGCGTACAATTACCCCCATAGCTTTGACTTGGAGGTTAAGGAACTGCATGAAATTGTGAGGGAGGGGTTTGAGCTGTTAGGCGCATTTAACTGGTGTGATTATGTGCCATGGATGAGCTTGTTTTATGACCCTTCTGGGATCAAAGAACGGTGCAGAGATCTTGTTCCTCGCGTGAGGAAGTTTGTGAAAGGCCTCATAGACGAACACCGATTGGCTGCTTCTTCATCATCCAACAAGCTTTGTGATAGCTCGGACTTTGTGGATGTTTTGCTATCCCTAGATGAGCCAGACGAGAAGCTCCATGAAGATGACATGATTGCTGTTTTATGGGTTTGTGCTCTCACCTCTCCTTCTATAATAATGTCAGAATCAGTTTGGGTGCTCATTACTTTAAGTTGACATATGCTTGCATTCTGGAGAGGTGCGTGTGTATATGAAAAGTGAGATTTTTAGATCTAATATCTAAGTGTAGACCAGGTCAGTTTTTTTGGGATCAAATTAAAAGTAGACCTTTTGGTCAAAAAAAAAAAAAAAAAGTAGACCAGGTCAATTTGAAGACGGATAAGTCAATATATATACCTCGGTTTCTCCCGAAATTTAGGGTCTTAATCATGGAATTAATTTGGGATTCAAACCTACTTTTATAGAGCAAAGTGAGCACTGAACACTGAACACTGAACACTGAATCTCCATATAGAATGTGTCAATTTTTTTTTTTTTAATAAATGTATCTTCCCAAGAGAATTGTAAATTGTATTAAAAAACTCAAAATATTCATGTGATGTTCTTACAAGCTTTAATTTTTTTTTAATTCTTTTTAACAGAGACTATTTTTATTCTAAATATCATTACCAACCATACAAGTATTGGTTTTCTTATATGCATGTGCAGGAGATGATATTTCGTGGTACTGATACAACGGCACTTCTAACCGAGTGGGCAATGGCGGAACTGGTTCTGAACGGACACGTTCAAGCGAGGCTCCGCGAAGAAGTTGACGAGGTTGTGGGAGACAAAGATGACGTCACCGATTCCGACGTGGCGAAAATGCCCTACCTTCAAGCTGTCATGAAGGAGACCCTGAGGGTGCACCCACCTGGCCCGCTCCTTTCGTGGGCCCGACTCTCCACGTCAGACGTCCAGCTCAGCAACGGCATGGTGGTCCCAGCCCACACGACTACTATGGTGAACATGTGGGCTATAACCCACGACCCAGAGGTGTGGGACGATCCATTAGCGTTCAAACCAGAAAGGTTCGTCCCAAGCGAAGGAGGAGCTGACGTGGACGTCCGAGGTGTTGACCTGAGGCTCGCACCGTTTGGAGCCGGGCGAAGGGTTTGTCCAGGGAAGAACCTGGGGCTCGTCACTGTGAACCTGTGGGTGGCTAAGTTGGTTCGCCAGTTTGAGTGGATTGAAGGCCAGGCTAATCCAGTTGACCTAACAGAGCAGCTTAACTTATCATGTGAGATGAAGAACCCTCTCAAGGCCGTGGCCATTCCTAGGGCTATTTAATGAATTAGCGCTAGCCAACACAAGAATACAATACCACTAAAGGTTTGCGTTGATACAGTTTTATAATTTATGGATGAAGAATATATATATATATAGGAGGAATCTAATTTTCCCCATGGTGTATGAGGTCAAAGACTATGGTTTTGTTTTAGTTTGAAGTGTTGTATCATGAATATCATGCACGGACTAAATAAGGGGGCGTTTATTAATTTTCCTCCAAATGTTATATATACTGTTGTGTGTTATGATTCAATGTTATGAATATTATGTGTTTTACGTAAGCAACACGTGCATGGCTGTTCTGGATATTCCTTGGAGACAGGCTTATTTCTGCGCTCTGGCATCAGCTTCTTGATCCTGATTTTAATTCACATATGCAGACCTTTTTCTTTTTTTCCCCCAGACACAGATACCTTAATCTATATATATTACATGGATCTGGTTCTTTCCCTTATCAATATGTGTCTTTTTATTTATTAATGACACAATAATTTAATCGAACAATCGCATTTCAACAATTAATACTTCCAAGGATTTGATGACACAGATTTTACTTCATATACATGCGCAGGAAAAATGTCATCAAATTAATTACATGAATTGAACAAATTCTCTAATTCTATCAAATGTCAGCGCCATCCAACAAACCCAGAGAACTAAATAATGAAGGAATAGGAAATAATAAAGGATTACAGTAAAAGTATGATCAGATAAATTTGCTCTTCTGGCATTTTTCACATCGCAAAGAACAGAACGTTCTCAACTACAGCATTCACAGTCCGTAGAAGATAGGAAGTTTTACAATGATTAAGGATGGGAATAAATTAACCTTAGTGATCGATCCCATGTGATGACTGGCCATGCGTCGCGTTTACGAACGGTAGTTAATTATCCAAACTATATGAAGATCAAGATGAAGTCCATGATGGATCCCTTGATTATGTATATGGTCGGCCCATTATAAATATCGAGTCCATTATCTAAAATGGGTTCTACTTTAGATGAGTACTAAATGTTGTACTATTCTGGCATGATACTTTAGAAACTAAGATGTGATATGTCATAATTTGTAAAAATTTTAAAATAGAAGTACTATATATATTACCTCCGGTCCTAATTATAAGACCTTATTTGTAGACTACAAATAAAGTCTTATAATTAAGATTGGAGGTAGTATATAGCAGACTAAGTAACCCAGAGAAATAGTATGATGTGAAATAAGAATATCAGAGTTTTAGTTAAACATGTGCTTGACATTTTTGATATATATGATGAGGTGCCTTTTGCTTTTACGAAGAAAGTGGGGGACAATATCATTGAGAATTCATAAGGAGAACGAAAACAAAACGAAGGATGGAACAAAGCTGTCAAGAATTCACTCGGCCAAGGAACTGCCTGGGGGGCCATTTCTTCAAATGACATAAAAAGTTAATTAAGGAAAGAGAATTGACATTACCACATTAGCATGTTACGAGAATGCAATTTCCTTCCAAAAACAAAGGAAGCTCATGAAAGGACGAAAAAAACATGTTCCCAAAATTTTGATATTGTTTGGTATATGGATAAAAGGGAGAGATCGAGGGAGAACCTGGATACACACACACACACACCATTATTTAAATTATTACGAAATTTATTTTGTCCAGCCACTTCAACAATCGTGCTGTGAAGATAAAGTTTTCGTTATTAATAAAAAGAAAGGGGAAAAAAAAGAATAATATGCCAAGGTTGATGCTTTATTTCTTCGAATACGAAGGACGAAGTAGGCTTCTGCCACTTAGAGACTAATTATGGAAAAATGCATCGTATACCATGGACCGAAAAATACATTATTAAATTTGCCCTACGTCATAAGATATTTTCATTCCTAATATTGTTTTGTATTCTGATAATTCCCTTCCATTTCCTTTCTGATCAATTGCTTCATATACATCCACTTCTCCTGGAAAGTCCTCGCGGGGATGCAACGTGAATGAAATGAAAGGTAAGCTGAGAAAGCTAAAAGACAGAAGAGAGAGACGTGCATTAATAAAGCCGTCTCTCTCTTGAAGATGATGATGAGGAGGAGGACTGGAGGAGTTTGTTTGTAACATCTATCCGGCGCACAAAGAAAATGATGGATGATGACCAAAACGAGCAGTGGGTATCTCTACAAGCCAAAAGGCAGTTTAATTCCAACATGAAGAGAAAAGCGACCTCACAGCCTTTCCAATCAGTTGACGTTCATGTAACAAAAATGCAGGTAATTAAGTGATGCTATAGCTAACTCCGCGTGAAGTGATAAAGCACTTTAATTTTAGGTAAATTCCAGTCAAACAAAGCCAAAAGAAGGACCACAGCCAGCTTCCAGTCAATTCTCCATTATCATCACAAATTTCACACTCTCTATTTGTCAATTATTCCGTCGATTTTAAATATAGAAAAATAAATGAGGAATTTATATTGAAAAAAAAATAGTTAGGTTAGGAAAACCCTCGTCTCTCTTATAGCGCATCTTTTAGAAATAATTTTTTATTCCAAATAGTATAAGTTACCAACAATTTCATCAATTACCTTCCCCCCTCATTTTTCCCTTCTTATTAATTGACGTTTATAGTTGAAAAAAATTAAATCACCTCATTTATAGAGGGACTAATTTGAAAAAAATTATTAATGTATGATATATTTAATGCATTAATTGTCCCTTATTGATATGTGAGAGTTGGTTGGATGTGCCTGTGCTGGCTTTTATAAAATACCTCTTTTAGTTATTTGTATTGTATATTATTACTCTCTCGATAAAAAAATTTTAATATGCTTAATCAATAGGAAAGTTTAGAAAAAAATTATAAATTGTAAATTTGAGAAATATAATATATTGAGATCTTATAGTTAAGATTAAAACAAATTTTTGTATTAGCACTAATATTTAGAATTAGGGAAATTACTAATAGATGTCTCTACTTTTGAGATTAACCTCTTTCTCCATTTAATCCATCAAAGCAATATTTATTTTCCATCAAATCTGATATTTCTACTACCGTCTGTATCTATTAAATACAATTATTAGTTTTAATTATGAAATGATTATCCAAATTGATCCAACAGCCTAAATTCATTGCACATGATTTAAAAAATTTGGAAACTAATGCAGGGTTGGTGCTACCGGATCTTGACAAATGCAATGAGAAAAATGTTGGGCAGGTCGAGTTGTTGAGGTTACATTAATGAGTAGACATGTGCCGTTGAAATTATGATTTTTCAAAATTTGAATCTCCAATTAGTTGGTATTATTGTTGTGATTATATATAAGGTATGCACTTACATTTACCAAAAGAAGAAACGCTTTATTGAATGAAGCCTCCACGACATGAATAACATGCTAGTATGAAGTTAGTATAGGGACATCAACATTGCTTTATAAATAGGAAGTTGTAAATTCCCACTTACTAGTATATTATAATTCTACATCACCTCAATATATATCCTCTAATTAAGTAGTATATTTATGAAAAGGAAAATAAATAAATTGCAGGAAATTTTTCAGATAATATATTATACTACTTCTGATAAATATATTATCCTAATTATAAGAGTCAGTTGATAAATATGAGTAATACTGCGCGGAGGGTGTTGACGTGAGGATGGGGCAATATATTGGGTGTGACCACGCGCACTTGTTTCCACCGACAAAAGCAATAGGAAATAATTCACGTGCTATATTCTGGAATGATCTGTCCCCCCGCAACACCGGAAGCTGTTATTGTCTCTTATCGTTTCTTTTTGTAGGTTACAATTTTATTTTTTGAATCCCTTAAATTTGATATTATTTTAATTTTAATTCTTAAAATTTGAAATACTTCTTAATCTTTATAGCCCCAAGTTTCATGTGCAGACAGAACGCAACCATTAATTATATTTTCTTAAAATTAATTTTTGTGTGCATATAATAATCCCTAAAACTTTACTGTAAATTATATCCATATCATCTTTTTAATTAAACTTTAGGATATGTGCAGATGAGTCGTAAACGTAAAAGTTCAGGAGGATTCATTACGGAGTTTTAAAAATTTAAAAATTATATATGTAACAAAGTTTCAGAGGAGTTCAAGTTAAAATTGACATCTTCTGGTCAAAAAAAAGAAGGTAAAATTGACATCATAGTAGAAACTATTGTTTGCCAAAACATCGAGCAAGAGAAAAATATTAATTGAAACAAAAAGAAAGTGAAACTTTTATTTGTCAAACTGATATTTAATTCTGCCAGAATCAATGATATTGCTTTTAATCTCATAAACATAGACTTTAGGCATTGTAGAGTTCTGGCTAGCTAGCCTAGCTGGGACCAGAGCTTTCGATTAGGTGAAACTAATTAATTTCGTCACAACGTCCCCCGCCATAGATTTTAATATCATTATGTCCATTAATATTATACTACAATACTGGTTTCTATTCTAATTATAAAAACTAGTTGATTAATTTAAGAAGATTAAAAAAATAAATTAAGTTAGTTATTTATAATAAATAGGTGTTGTCTTTCTTATTTATTAGTTACAACACCATTATTAGAAGGACCATCTTTACAAAAAATGCATAAATATGAGAGACAAAGTATATTAAAGTTCTATAATTAGGACCAAAATAAAATAAAGTCAAACAAGATCTTATATTAAAGACCGGAGGTAGTATTTGATTTGTTTGAGAGTATTTGCTTTCAACTATAATTTGATCATTCTTCAAATTATTCAAAGTAATTGAATTAATTTAAAAGTAATTCTAAAACCAACTTTTTGTTGTGAGAGAAAATTAACAAAATATTTGTCAATACAAGAGCATCGTTGAAGAAAAAAGGGAAAATCCCAAAAAAAGTCTTTGGAATATGGGAAATGTCAGATTGGGTCCTTAAATTTCGAAAATGACAGAATGGGTCATTGACCCAATCTGTCATTTGTGAAATTCAGGCGAATTGACAATTTTGCCCTCATTTATTCATTCACTACAATAATTCAAGGAATCACTATAAGAGTTTAGGTGTTACCTAGATTCGTATAGCGAATAACTATTCACTTTTTCATAGTCAGGTGTCTTGTTATTAACTACAACTAATGCTGTAATCACTAGAACAATGTAAGCACTACCTAGATTTGTGTAGAGAATAACTAATTTTTTCATAGTCAGGTATCTTATTATTGTCAGGTACCTTATTATTAACTACAACGAATTTTGTAATCACTAGAACAGTATAAGCGTTACCTAGATTTGTTTAGAGAATAACTACTCACTTTTGCTCAAGGGTAAAAATGTCAATTCGCCTGAATTTCACAAATGACAAATTGGGTCAATAACCCATTCTGTCATTTTCGAAATTTAAGGACCCAATCTGAAATTTGGTATATTCCAAGGGCTTTTTCTGGGATTTTCCCAAGAAAAAATTAATGCTCAGAACATTTTACAGTCTGACTTAAATCTAAAATCATGAGAATTCCTTGTATAATACGACTCGTAGTAAACGGGAAGTAGTACAAAAACTGGTTTTTTTAATAGAAAAAGAAGAGAGGTTGAATTGGGAGGCGTAAAAGTTCAGGAGGATTTATTACGGAGTTTTAAAAATTTAAAAATATATATATAATAAAGTTTCAGAGGAGTTCAAGTTAAAATTGACATCTTCTGGTCAAAAAAAAAAAGTTAAAATTGACATCATAGTAGAAACTATTGTTTGCCAAAACATCGAGCAAGAGAAAAATATTAATTGAAACAAAAGAAAGTGAAACTTTTATTTGTCAAACTGATATTTAATTCTGCCAGAATCAATGATATTGCTTTTAATCTCATAAACATAGACTTTAGGCATTGTAGAGTTCTGGCTAGCTAGCCTAGCTGGGACCAGAGCTTTCGATTAGGTGAAACTAATTAATTTCGTCACAACGTCCCCCGCCATAGATTTTAACATCATTATGTCCATTAATATTACACTAGAGTATTGTCTTTCATCTTAATTATAAAAACTAATTGACTAATTTAATAAAATTAAAAAAATAAATTAAGTTATTTATTTGTAATAAATAGCTGTTATCTTTTTTAAAATATTCTTATTAATTAAGTTTATTAGCTACAACACCATTTTTAGAAGAACTACCTTTATAAAAAATACATAAATATGAGAGACAAAGTAGATTGAAATTTTATAATTATGACCAAAATAAAAATCAAACGAGATCTTATATTAAGGACCAGAGGTAGTATTTGATTTTTTTGAGAGTATTTGCTTTTAACTATAATTTGATCATTCTTTAAATTATTCAAAGTAATTGAATTAATTTAAAAGTAATTCTAAAACCAACTTTTTGTTGTGATAGAAAATTAACAAATATTTTTCAGAAGAAAAAATTAATGCTCAGAACATTTTACAATCTGACTTAAATCTAAAATCATGAGAATTCCGTGTATAATACGACTCGTAGTAAACGGGAAGTAGTACAAAAACTGGTTTTTTTAATAGAAAAAGAAGAGAGGTTGAATTGGGTGGCGTATGTCGGCTACCAAAAATGTTGTTAGACTTTATATTCTATGCTGCTCTTTTTAAAGAAACGACAAATACCACACTTCTTTGAAAAAATGATGAATTAGTTATTTATTAAGTGGTTGACATTACATTAATGAGTACATATAAGACTTGTGCCGTGGCGTTACTGGCCGAGACAATCAAGACCAGCACCCTCGAGTTAGTTTTTGCAGTATTTAACCAATCATATATATCAGTCAATTTTCTGTTAACGGTTCTAGAACAAAAAACATCACACACACATTATATATCATGCATGTTAAATATATATATTGATTAATAACAATGGCCAAATTAAAAAATTACTGATCTTTTTATTCTTTTAATATAAATATATTTTTTATTAAAATATTTCTGTTTTCATATTTATTTTTATATGTCAATGAATTATTTTTAGTATCATTTATACATTAATAATCCCAAATAAAAGCTTATTTATTACTCCCTCCGTTCCTTATTATAAGAGACATTTGATGCTTATGGCATGTTCCTATATATAAGAGACACTTAAAAGTTGTCTCTACTTTTTTGTGTTAATTTCCTATTTTACCCATATTTATTGTCTCTAACTAACACTCTCTCTCATTCCTACTCCTCTTTCTTTTAATAATTTACCATTGTTTTCTCTCATGCTCTCTCTCCTTATTAATGAAGGTATTTTTAGAAAAAAAGTTATACTTTTTACATATTAATTATTCTTAATTAATTTTAACTGTTTTTTTGATCAACGTAATTTTGTTATTCGTCTCTTATAATAAAGAACGGAGGGAGTAATTTGTTCCTGCATGGTGCCATGGTGCTTATCCTTTTGTTTGGCCAAAGCCAAAATATCTATAGGCAGGGGCATCCATGCATGTATATATACTTGGAGTTTGGAAGAGCAAAATCAATCTCGGACAATTAATTTATATTAACTTATTTTGAATAATTTTTTCTTATACGAAATAAATATTTGAGAAGAATTTTATTTTACGCAATATAAAATTTTTATAAGCGATTAAAAATCAAACGGATACTTCATATATTTTCACAGCGTTCACTTTTTTAATACTAAGCCGCTTATTTCTTTTAGTATTTGGTGTCTCTTAATTAATCTGTTTCCCAAACTTGTACATGAAGGGATGATGCTTCGCCTTCAAAGGTACAATTAGAAAAGACAACACATGTTCCATGATCTAAACGCTGCCACGTCAACCTGAATCAAAAGTTTTTCTCTCAGATCCATCCATATCACCTTCTCCTAATAATGGAGGTATTGTCATACTAGTATTTATTTCTACTGTATTTTTATATATGTAATGAGCGAATAAATACATGTATATGGATATAACAACTAACAACGAAAGGCTGTTTCACATTAATATGAAGCGTAACATAAACTCACCGTACAATGACGCATGAGTACGTAATAAGAATTTATGCAGTCACGGTGACGATGAAAAAAGAATTGCCGTAAATTTTATATTATATATATATATATTGATTGATATATACACATCAAGGTGGGCGCCATTAAAGGTGGTCTTACTGGCATGTTTATATATATCATTTTGGCCATCTTGCGTTTTGTGGCAAAAATCTCTCATACCGCAAGTGATATTTTCACACATCAGAAAGGAGCAGCACTATCTTCGGCAGCAAGTAGTGGTCACTACTCTTCGTTTTCCTGCAGATGAAAAGATCGATGTGGTATTCCAATAATAAGCTTATCTTCTTCTTCATCATTCTCTGGTTCTTCTCATTGGGTGGCGTATATTCTCAACCATTGAAACGATACAAGTTCGTTGTAAGTTCCACAACATCTCATTATCCATTAATCCTTTTTTTAGTGTTATATCTACACACACACATAGAGACACAGACACACTCATTAGTTATAAGAACAGTCGTGTTCTCTAACAGGGCATCATTATTATATTATAGCTGTCACCCTATTATTACCTTAACTGGTTTAATTTGCAGGTGAAAGAAGCTCGATACACGAGACTCTGCAGCACAAAGAATATATTAACTGTGAACGGACAATTTCCGGGGCCAGTTATTAGTGCTCAGAAGGGTGAAACAATATATGTCGATGTTTATAACAGAGGCAGAGACAACATCACTTTACACTGGTATATACTATTTATCTTAATCTCTCTACGCACTTTCTGTGATGAGAAAGGCGGGGAAAAACAATAAAGTTCAAGTAAAATTATGTGGCAGGCATGGAGTGAAGCAGCCGAGGAATCCATGGCCGGATGGTCCTGTGTACATCACACAGTGTCCGATACAACCGGGAGGGAGGTTCAGGCAGAAGGTGGTTTTCTCTACAGAGGAAGGAACCTTGTGGTGGCATGCTCACAGTGATTGGTCCAGAGCCACCGTCCACGGCGCTATTATTGTTTATCCCCGCCGTAACTACCCTTTTCCGAAGCCTCATGCGGAGATACCCATCATCTTCGGTATGAAATTAAATCACTACTTGTCAAATAATAATCACCAAATAGTTCGATCCAAAACGAGCTTCGAGAGATATATCACTCTTTTGTGTGTTTGCAGGAGAATGGTGGAAGAGTGATGTGAGGAAAGTGTACACGCAGTTCCTTAGATCAGGAGGATCTCCGAATGACTCCGATGCCATCACTATAAATGGCCAACCAGGTGACCTTTATCCTTGCTCCAAATCAGGTGAGTGGTCATCAATCTACAAGCAAAACTGTGAATTTGATGTAAGGCTAGGCACCTAATAATAGCAACAACATTACGTTAATTATCTGCAACATTCAGGAACTTTCAAGGTAAATGTGGACAAAGGGAGGACTTACCTTCTTCGAATGGTTAATGCTGCAATGAACCTGTTCCTCTTTGTGTCTGTCTCAAATCACAAGCTAACCCTTGTGGGGACAGATGGAAGCTACACGAGGCCACTGGTAAGGGATTACATCACAATAGCTCCGGGACAGACAATGGACTTTTTGTTACATGCCAACCAGAAGCCTAATCGTTACTACATGGCAGCAAGGGCATATTCAAGTGGTGTTGGAGTTCCCTTTGACAATACCACAACCACAGCTATTATTCAGTACAGTGGCAGATACAACACATCTTCGTCTCCGTCGTTACCCAAACTTCCTTATTATAATGATACAGAAGCAGCTTTTAAGTTCTATAGCAGTATTAGAGGGTTGCCGGAGAAATTTCCTCATTTAATCCCAGCGAATTGCTCTACCAACATAGTGACCACCCTGTCCATAAACACGTTTCCATGCCGGAGAGGCCAGACCTGTCAGGGACCCAACGGAACTCGATTGGCTTCGAGTATGAGCAATATAAGTTTTCAGAACCCAAGCATTGATATACTGGAAGCTTACTACTACCGCATTAATGGAGTGTTTGGGACGCGATTTCCCATGTTTCCGCCATTGATGTTCAACTTCACAGCAGATTATTTGCCGATGGTTCTGGAGATACCCAGGAGAGGGACGGAGGTGAAGGTTCTGAGGTATGGTGCAACAGTCCAAATTGTGTTTCAAGGCACAAACTTGGTTGCCGGGATCGACCATCCGATGCATCTTCATGGATTCAGTTTCTATGTTGTTGGATATGGAAAGGGGAATTTCAACGAAAAAATGCACACCAAGGATTTCAATCTGATTGATCCTCCGCTCGTGAACACCGTTGCTGTACCCAAAAATGGCTGGGCTGCTGTCAGGTTTGAGGCGGCCAACCCAGGTATAATTGGAATTTTATTTATTTTACTTTTATCAATTAGTATGTCTTTTTTATTTTAAAACCTACATAAATCTCTTTAAAATATAATTCGAGAAAAATTCAGAGGAAGCTAGCATCAGCTGGCGGGTTATGTCCTTTTTGGGTTTCAGAAAAGTTTGTGCGCTTGTTTTGAAAACAAAATTAAGGTTTGAATAATTTAACAGAAGTCACGAGAGATTAATGTAACTATTTTTTTACTTTGAAAAGTAAATTTTAAAAGGAAAAAATTCACTGTACTGGTCAAAAAAAAAAAGAAGAAAAAACTCACTGACACGCACACTTGAAGACTGATATATTTAAAGTACACTTGTTTTTATATATTTGATCCAAATAAAATTCATTAAAAAAAAAAGAAGTTGAAATCTCCTGCAATATGGAAGCGTAAAGCCTAGAGACTAAGAAAGTCAATGAGGCTGACCCAATAGTGGATCCTACTAAAGGAGTAAAGTCCTATCCGTTCGGTTACTCTGTCATTATCTACTTTACTACCAAAGAATACTTTCACTTGTTAATCTCTAATAAACGCAAAAATATGCTTTTCTTTTTGGAATAAATAAGTGTATGAAATACGACATAGAACTAGCATAAATGATAGGCAAATTTTTATTTAAATTTATTGTAAACATAAAAATTAGCATATATATATATATATATATATATTCCTGATGGGTCTTGTGCGCATGACAGGGGTATGGTTGCTGCATTGCCATCTGGAGCGGCACATTGCTTGGGGGATGGAGACTGTGTTCATCGTGAGGAATGGGTTAAGGTCCAATCAAACTTTGCCTCCTCCCCCACCTGACATGCCACGCTGTTGAGTCCTTTTCAGACTTTTCAAAGTGTGTGAAAAATGTCTCCACAATAAGATTGATGCTTCCCCCAATATAAGTTCATCACAATGCAATTTGATTTACAAGGTTGTTTCTCATTAAATAATCGGTTTGAATGTATAGGATTATTCGATGCTTGTCGATATCTCAGAAACTTTGCCTATTTGATATAAACTGTGTTTTGGACGTAAATTAGTAGTTCATGATTTGGGATTATGATGATGGGAAATACGAGTGTGTACCGTGTTTTGTAATAACTTTCTCTTTGCTCAATCTCTCTGTTATAAACTTTTGATAAATTTCAACGTCAATAATTCAAATCGAATGGTATCATAGCGTAAGAGAGACCCTAACTTTACTCGTGTCAGATTGTGTTCACCTGTGTGGTTACAAGTTGTGAACAGATCGATAATGATGACCAATTCTAACAGTGAGTGAATGACGTGGTGCTCCAAAACTAATTAATTAAAGTGACACCCTGAGGAAAGAGATAGAGATCAGGAAGAGGAAGCAAGGTAGGTCTTTCTTAATTATGGAGGGACCCATGTTCTTAAAAGCAAGGCTAATCATCTTTCTACTTCACCCATACTTTGCCGGACCTTGTAATCCCAACCTTACCAATAATGTGCCCGTTTGTTTTAGCGTTTCCACGGACAAAAAGTAACTTACCAGGTCAAAACGCGCGATGGAGCAGATTGAAGGAAGCTGGGAGTGTTTCTTATGGCTTAAAAACAATTTACCTTCTGAATAAAAAGTCATTTAAGTCATAAGCTAAAATTTAGAGCTTATCACTTTTGAGAAGTGGAGAGAGAAGATGAAAAAAAGTTAGGTCCCGCTTCTTTAAAATAATTTATCTTAAATCATATTATACTATCTTACTTATATTCAAACTTAGACTTATCTTTTTTCAAGTACAAAATATATCTAATTTGTAAATATTAAAAAAAAATTTTTTTACCAGCAATAATAACGAAAACTAAGACATTCTACACTGCCTAAAAGATATGGCACTCTATAAATGGCAATGCAGCAATTAATATATAAGCATAATATTTAGTGTTTGATAGGCTAAAAATGAAAATATTGTACCTAGGGGTTGGTATAGCTCTGAACCTGATGGCGATCGTTAGTTCTCTGCTCTTGCACCACACCTCAGAATCTTAAGCTCTGTCTCTCGCAAATAAGCCCATATGAACAAGATGGCTCACAGAAGGGGGTCGATGAAGAAAGAATGGGAGAAGCTTATTATCTAAACGAACCACTCGGGTCCAGCTTAACTTATAGCATCCTGTACGTTCTTGTAGTGCATCAAGTGTGAAGTACCAATATTGTACTGCATTTCTTCATTATGCAAAATTACACATAAGACCCTGGAAGAAAGACAATGAAATTAAACTATAAAGGACCAAGAATTCATAAATTTATTAGGAAAAAAACCCAGGGTTATCTCAGTTGAATTCCAAAAGTTTAATGATTAATCTCGAAAATTCAGTCAGAGGTATTGAATATTTAGTTGTCAATTTGTTATAAGTTATGAAGATTCTATAAATCTTAACAACTCAATTACAAGTCTCGACAACTCAGCAGTAGAGGTGTTCAAGGTCGGCCCGTCTCGGTCCCAGTCTTATTGGGACGGGACGGATCCGTCCCGAAATTTTCCGGGACGGGCCGTCCCGGTTCTTTTTTTTTTTTTTAATTTTTTATCCTATTTATATAATATCATTTTTTTCATATTTTTTTAAGATTTGAGACTATTGTATGGAACTATGGATATATTTATTTAGAGTTTTTATATTTGTTAATGATTTGAGATTATTGATTATTAGAATTTTTAGCAAGTTTTTATTGTGTTAAAAGCTTTTGTTTAGAGTTTTTAATGACTATTATATGTAATATTTTGAGCTTTTGTTTAAGAGTGTCCAAACAAATAAAAAATAAAAAGATGTTTTTATAAGGTTTAAGCCCAAAAAAATATAATTAAAAAATCATATTTTTTAAAAAAATTTAAAAAATTTTAAAAAAAACTTCGAGACGTCTCGGATCCGTCCCATCCTGATCGGGACCGAGACAACCCTGAAACAGATCGGGACATAGGACAGATTTTCTGTCCCGTTACTATTCATCGGGACGGAACCGGGACAGGTTTGTCCCGATCCCGATTCGTCCTGTGAACAGCCCTACTCAATAGCCAATAATTGTAAAATGACATCAAAATGTTAGAGCTCCAGTCTTTAATGTAAGAATTAGCTAAGAGTTTGATTTAATTCTAAATATAATACTTTAATTTACTTTATCTCTTCTTAAAATATCTTTATTGGTTTCCACCAAGCACAGGATTGAAGAGAATAATTTAAGAAAACCAATACACACCTGTGACAAATAATCAACTTGACTAATTTTTTTAATATTTCCAGATTAATTATTTAACTCTTATACTATATTAAAGACAAGAGGAGGTAATATCACAAAACTTAATTCTAGCGACAAATTCGTTAAAAAAAATCAAATAATTTTAGCTCCGTGGTGCTTCAATGTCGTCCTCCTAAAAAGGGTCGAATTTAGTGGTGTCCTTCAACGTAGCTAATCAGAGACGGGCACGTCCCATTTTAAGGAGTCGTTATTATTGTTGTGTAACACGTCAAACCAAACATTGTTTCCTCCGCCGTGGGATACGCCCTCATGTTGAAGCTTCTTACAGAGTCGCGCGCTGTCTTCAACTTAATTTGCGGAATTTACTGCGGAATGATTTTCCTCATATATTTAAATGCAAATGTGTGTGTTTTGATTTGTCGTAATTGAGTTCGTTTTGACCGTTTAATCTATTTAATTTGCATTTCTTTTTATTTTATCCCCCGTAACGATCTGTTCATGCACGGTCTCCCGCGCACAATTAAGGCAAGATGACTCGAACACGGTAAGCCACAGTCATTAAACTTTGTCTGACTCATTACGATGATTATCTGTCTAACTAAAACCCATAAATTTAGGGTGGAAAAACACCTCCAAAGTACAACATGGATGGCATCATCACAAAATTAAGAGACGTAATCTATTTTTGTCGTCTTAGCTTGAACGATGCTTCAATCATATTGGACAGTCGTAGTTTCTTTGATGTCCTAGTTCTTCTCTTATTAATATTCCATCCACACCCTTAATTGCTTTTCCACTAAAATCTTAATTTGTTTTGTCCTGACATGCCGACATGTTCCTTAGTCGTTCAGACTTGCATCTGGAAAATGTCATCAAAACAAGATGGACACTTCAACTCTTAAAGCAAGAGATTATGCGCTTCAACTTAGTGGGCCCATTTTGAAAGTCTCATTAAATATTAGATCTTCAGCAGTTGCCTTTTTCCTTTTTAGAGTGATTGCTGAAAATTTGTGCGTTTCAGCGATAATTTTAGAAGTTGTCATAGAATGATAGAAGGTCTGCTCCTGCTTACGATATTGTGTGCGCGAGGATGAAATACGTATGCTTACATATATGTAGATTTTCATAGAACAATATCACATCCAAGGTATATATTACATAATAAAAGTGAGATACGAACTTGAATGATCTTAGGTGTATTTTTCCTCTTTTTTTTTGGGTTCCATTTATAAAATAAACGATGGTTATGAAAACAACAGCAAGAAGATGAGAAAGAAATAGAAATAGAAAGAAAATATTTAAAATGAAAGACAAACAAAAGACGTTAAATGAGTCTGTTCAAAACTTGCTAATTCGTCTGTTCTCCTCTTTCGTTCAATCTTCCTCTATTTAACTCGTCGTCTTCTGAAGGTGGACAAAGATTAGGTAGTTAATTAAGATTAGGTAGTTAATTGGTTTTATGAACTTATTAGGCAAGAAGATGATGAGTTGTCGTTTTCCTGAATAAGTTTATGAATTTGCATTATTGTTCTCCATGCGTGTCAATGCTTTTTCTGCATATGCATACATGATTTGAAATTTGGAAAACTGCTGTCATTATCTCCCTTAAATAGTTTATATTTAATTAGTTAAGTCGTCACATGGAACAATTTAACTATTATATGTGTATGGCACCTATATGACATATGGGACCCATTTCCAAATTTAGAGATTACGTGGTTACATGGACCCAAATTCCAATATCAACAATATTGACATCAAGTAAAGAAATGACCCGTTTTCAGGATCCCGCATGTCCTTAACATAACAGATCCCACATTTTCCCGTCAACTGTTTGTATCCATTTGGGTGGTCTAGAGGATAAGATAGTACCCAATTGTCATTACATATAGATATCAAATTAAATTACATGAATAGTACGATGTTGTGCTGATTATTAATTCATGCACCTAAATATCATCAAAATTATTCAGCAGTGCAATACTCAAAAGTTTTGAAGAGTACGTGTGTGAGCTGAAAGAAGCTTCATCAACATGGTGGCATGTCAGGTGGCGGAGGCGGCAATGTTTCATTGAACCTTAACCCATTCTTCACGATGAAGACAGTCTCCATTCCCCAAGAAATATGCCGCTCTAGATGGCAATGCAGCAACCACAGTCCTATATCACCCGAAGTTAGAGGTTTTTTAAACTAGAAATTAGAAAGAACCACTAATCTAGACTTTTTAAAGGTTAATTAGTATAGGTGTTTGATAGGTTAATTTATGTTGTAGTACGTACCTGGGTTGGTAGCCCTGAACCTGATGGCAGCCCAGCCATTTTTGGGCACAATAACTGTGTTCATGAGGGGAGGATCAACGAGATTGAAATTTCTGTAGTCCAATCGTTTGTTGAAATTCCCAAATCCATATCCAATAACATAGAAATTGAATCCATGAAGATGCATTGGATGGTCAAATCCTGCAACTAAGTTTGTCCCTTGGAAAACAAGTTCTACTATTTCACCATACTCGAGAATCTTAACCTCTGTCCCCCGCTTAGGTGTCTGCAGAACTAAAGGCAAATAATCAGCAGTGAAGTTAAAAATCAATGGCGGAAACATGGGAAATCGCCTGCCAAACACTCCATTGATGTGGTAGTAGTAAGCTTCCAGTATAGCGATGTTTGGGTTTTCAAAACTTATGTTGTTCATGCTTGAAGCCAAACGGGTTCCATTGGGTCCCTCGCAGGACTGGCCGGACAGACATGGAAATGTGTTTATGGAGAGAGTGATCATCATGCGAGTAGAAATTTTCAGTGGAACTTTGAGGGGAAATTTCTGAGGCAACCCTCTAATGTTACTATAGAAGTTAAAAGCTGCCTGCGTGTCATTATAGGAGGGGATATGGGGTAATGAGAGAGATGAAGATGCGTTATATTTCTCTTTGTACTGAACAATAGCTGTGGTTGTGGTGTTATCGAATGCAACTCCAATCCCATTTGAATATGCCTTTGCTGCTAAATAATACTGATTTGGCTCCTGGTTGGCATATAACAAAGCATCCATCGTTTGGCCTGGAGCTATTGCGATGCAATCTCTAGTCAATGGCTTCGTGTAGCTTCCATCTGCTCCCACGAGCGTGAGCTTGTGATTTGAAACAGACACAAACAGAATCAAGTTCATTGCAGCATTAACCATACGAAGAAGGTAAGTCTTCCCTTCTTGTACAACGAACTTGAATGTTTCTGAATGTTGCAGAAAACTCAGAGATGTTATTAGGAATAACCAAAAATCACACCAGACGTACGTACTATAAGCTCACTCACGCTAGCTTGTAGTAGGTTGTTTACCTACCTGAGTTTGAGCAAGGATAAAGATCACCTGGCTGGCCGTTTATAGTGATTGCATCAGAATTACTTGGAGTTCCTCCAGAGTCCAGGAACTCAGTATACACCTTCATCACATCCTCCTTCCACCATTCTCCTACAAAACAAGAGAACCATCTTTCCGAAACTTCGTCATTATATGATAACTATGTTAATCAATTATTGCAGACTTTGATATCTACCAAATATGATGGGTATGTCTGCGTCAGGTCTGGGAAAAGGGTAGGCACAGTTCTTGTTGGGATAGACTATGATAGCTCCATGGACAGTGGCTCTGGACCAACCACTGTGAGCATGCCACCATAAGGTTCCTTCCTCTGTAGAGAAAACCACCTTTTGCCTGAACCTCCCCTCTGGTTGTATAGGACATTGTGTGATGTATTCAGGACCATCTGACCATGGATTCCTTGGCTGCTTCACCCCGTGCCTGCCATAAAATTGATTAAAGTTAATCTCTGGAACCTCAAAAGTGACTATGAAGTTAATCTCTGGAACCTCAAAAGTACCAGTGTAAAGTGATGTTGTGCCTGCCTCTGTTATACACATCGACGTAAACTGTATCACCCTTGGAAGCAGTAATTATAGGCCCTGGAAATTCTCCATTCACTGTCAATATGCTTTTTGTGCCGCAAAGTCTTGTATATTTAGCTTCTTTCACCTGCAACATATACATCAGATATTTATGAAATCAAAAGATGGCTGACGGCTTGCCCTGTTTGTTTATGCTGGGAGACTTACAATGAAAGTGTAATGTTTCAATTTTTGAGAATGAACACAAACTAATCTGAAGAAACAAAGAACGGAGATGATGATCACTGGTTTGGAAAACCACATTTTCATGTGTTTGTGTCTGAGAGAGAGACTTCTGCCTCTGTTTCTGATTTATCGGAAGCATCTCTTCGGGTCCTGCTAGATCTAGATAGGTAGATATGTCGTCGAAATCATCACATTCCCATTTAAGTACTAATTTTAACTCCAATGAAGTCATCTAAATTTGTCACATCTAACGGATACTACCTCCGATCCTTAATATAAGACCCCTTTTGACTTTTTGTTTGGTCCTAATTATAAGACCCCAATCCATTTTGTCTCTCATATTTATGTATTTTTTCCAAGATAGCCCTTCTAATAATGATAGTTCTAGCCAATACACTTAATTAGCAAGGATATTTTGGGAATGACAACACTTATTTATTACAAATAACTAATTTAACTTACTTCCTTAATCTCCCCAAATAAGTCAACTGGGTCTTATAAATAGGACCGGAGGTAGTATTAAATTGTTTCCAAACCCGTCAACGGATGGCTTGCGTGAAAGAAACTCCTTATTCCTTAATGAGGTTTCAGTTTGAGTTTTGTTGATAGGGAAACTTAAACTTCATACTGGGTAAGCTACTCTAGTTTTAGGTTCACTAATGGTTAAATTTAGATTAACCTCTAAATTTATTATGATGATGTGGTTGTTTTTCTTCTTTTTCAGTCATGTTATACAAACGGAAAATGGCGGCAGTGAATTTGTACTAGAACCATTTGAGAACTATAACGATTGGACTATAAACTTAAGAAGTATAGAGGTAGTGACCCATAAGCTTGAAAACTGATATTTATACATATCTACAAATTAATATTCCCTTGGTTTTATGATACTACTCAGAGTCAGGTTGGGTCCTTAATTAGTATTTTTTTCATCTGACTGAATCCATGTGGATGCATCGGATGGTCTATTCCTGCAACCATGTTTGTTCCTTGAAATACTAGTATTTTTGCACCATGACTCAAAACCTTCACCTCTGTCCCTTAGTTCGGTATCTCTGCTGTGAAGTTGAACACCGACGGCGGAAATATGGGAAATCGCCTTCTAATTAAACAAGTCAAACAGTAGTAATTTGGCTTCTGTCTGGCATCAAACAGGACATCCATTGGCTGTTCTGGACCTATGACGATGTAATCTCGTGTCAATGGCTACGTGAATCTGCCATCGGACCCCACAAGCTTACGTTAGCCTGTGACTCGAAACAGACAAAGAGGGAATCAGGTTCATCGCAGCCTTAATCATACGACGAAGGCAAGTCTTCCCTTGGTCCACTTTCACCTTGAACGTTCCTGAATGTTGCAGATAACGTCGTTGTATGCTAGGCACCTATATAGCCTCACATTAGATTCACACACACGCGCGCACACACAAAAGGCGATGAGATTGAGGTTGGGAAATAAATATACCGGTGTAGAATGATGTTGTATCTTCCCTTGTTATAAACCTTGGCGTGGACACTTTTCACCCTTGTGCTGCAGATTCTTGTATATGATGAAGTCTCTTCCACTTGCAAGGTATTATAAAAAAGATCACCAATAAAAAAGAAAAGAGGCAGGCAATAGATAGACGCAATGTTAGGGGACTTGGAACAAAGTTTTATAACGTTCCTGTGTAAGCATGGGGGTGAACGGCAAGCGATGGCATGAATAACCGGAAAATAATCAAGAAGATCATTTTCTTGGAAAAGCACATTTTCTCTGATTTACGAGGGCGTAAGTTGGGCTTTGGTGCATATGAAGTACGGGACCTATGTATAATTCTATCCACAGTATATGAAACAGGGATAAGATCATTTTCCGTGTGTTACTGCTTTTTAAACCAAACGAGTTAAAAAGTAGCACAACATAAACAAGTCATCAATCAGATATTTTAAGCAAAACATTTGTACTGTTGATATTTTGAGAATCTTACTGAAGACAGTCATGAGGTGAACTTCATTCAAGCATAGTAACTCCCACTCATTAAATTATTTTATTAATTAAGTTAATTAGATTGCCCAAAAATGGATGCCCGTGTGAACTAGCACTCAAAGTTTTGCTTCGCCTATAAGCAGTTAACACTAATTTTGAGAAGCATGACTGGGATAATAGAAATGAATGTTTAAAAAGAAATTGCCAATAAAGTAAAGAATAAATGTTGTCCTTAGGTTTGCCAGGCCACTAAAAAAACATGATATCCTTAATATGTAAGATATGACTTTTAACTTTGTAGACAAATTAAATGGACCCTACCAGCTACTTAGTTAATAGTTAGTGCGCAACTTAATTTATACATATATAAATATGCGTGGTTTAAGCTATCTTTTGTTCTGTAAGGAAAAGTTGAAATCCAAAGCCAACTTAAGCACTTGGATGATGTCTGAAAGAAATTTAGTTACAGCGTCGCCGAGTTGACACAGATCTGATCACTAATTGAGTGCACTTTTTAAATATAACAATTACAGTTGTGATGTAATTATACAGAAGACATATTTGTAATATAGTTATTTAAATCTATTGATTTGGAAAAAACTAAGAAAAGAATTCAAATATTGCGTTACAAAGCAATAAATTAAATCTGCACTCCAATGCAAACCAAATATCTCTCATCATAATAAAATATATACATGATCATGAGGAAATTTAAAACTCACCAATTACTAGTATGAGTTCCAAATAATAATATTATCGCAATGCATTTATAATAGCACCAAATTATTAACATGAAACATTAATTTCAAGAGGGTTACACTATGCCCAAACAACTGAAACGCAGTAAAAATTTGTCAAGGAACTCCATCCCCTTAGCTTCTTTTTAGTCTCAATGAATGAAACTCATAATTATTTAATCTGTGCAGATAATTATAATGTTTATTCAAAAAATACTATTGTGCGTGTTTGTGTGTGTAAGAATCAATTCCTTGTCAACCGAAATTGGTTTAAATCCCACGAGCTTATTAGCAAACTCTCTCTCTCTCTCTCTCTCTCTCTCACATAAATGTGTGTGTGTGTGTGTGTGTGTGTGTGTGTGTGTGTGTGTGTGTGTGTGTATTGTTAAAAAGTTGCTTCATGCGATGAGATGCTTCAAGAACAAGGAGGCAGATATTTGGGGGGCGGAAGGATGCTCGTTTGTGGGGTACCTCCGTCTCTCACAATAACAACAGTATCCATTCCCCAGCTTGTGTGTCTATCAAGATGACAATGCATATACCATACCCCTGCACAAGCGTACCAAATCATTTGTGAGAATATGTATGTGTGTGTATTACTCTTTTAGTTTAAAATTATGAAGTACTTTTGTTTATTGATTTATGTCCCCGGTAAATCAGTTAATGTAATTCAATACGTAATCATCTATATATCTTTACTCTCCTTTGATATGGCGTCTTCCATTGAAAAAAAAAAGAGATGAATGGCTCTTCATTTTCATACTTCACATCGAGGGCTTTTTTTTTTTAATAAAAAGAAGGTTATTAATTACATCTTTTGAAAATACTAAAATACCTTGTGTTTTTAAAACATATTACTTCACGCGGAAAAGCGTTTATTATTTCAAAAAGCTATACAAAGACTTTATGGATAAAAAACCGACATGGGAACCACTTAAGATTTGACCTAGAAAGAAACTTTCTATGACAGTTAAATAGTCTATCTAATTACGTAAAATATTCAGTCGTTGAATAAACCTAACCTAGCTAGTTTGAATTATAGAGATAGTGGTTGAGAGAACTTGCCAGGATTATCAGCGACAAATCTCATTGCAACCCATCCATTTTTGGGAAGACCAAAGGTGTTAACTAATGGAGGATCGATTAAGTTATAGGAGAGAGGGTCTGTGACATTGTTGAAATTTCCAAGGCCAAGTCCAACCACATAGAAGCTGAAGCCATGAAGATGAAGAGGGTGATTCTCTGCACTGAGAAGACTCGTTCCTTGCCACACTATTTCCACTTCATCATTATAATCCAACATTATTACCCTCGTTCCTGTACTTGGGATTAGTGTGCTGTTTGCCACGTCACCTGTGAAGTTGAAATACAGCGGCGGTTCATCTGGGAAGTCCTCTGTGAATACCCCAGAAATGTTCCTGCATTGTTTTATATATAAATAATTTTAGGGAAAAAGAAAACAAGAAAATAGCCTGCTTTGTCTAATATATTGTGAAAAACCCCAGAAATATAAAACAGCAGTATATGAATGGACATTATATATAGACATACCAATAGTATGCTCGTAGAATATCGATGTTGGGAACCCGAAAGCTTATGTTGTTTAAGCTTGAAGACAATCTATTTCCATTAGGACCCGAACAATTTGAATTAGGGCAAGGCAACACATTTACAGACACTGTCATATAAATTCTTCTGTTGACATTTTTGGGAACATCCACTGGATGATCTTTACTCGCCAAACTCCTCAATCTCTTGCTGAAGTTAAACGCTGCCCCTGAGTCATTCAAAGCAGGAAGCACAGGGAAGGGAATAGCTCTAGAAGATGAAGATGATAAATTATTTGAATTGGAATAATTATCATTATTATTAGTGCAATTTCTGTACTGAAGAATTGCCGTTGTCGTGGAATTATCATAGACTGCATTTCCATCATAAAAGGGAGAAGCGGCAATGTAATACTGATCAGGGTTCTGATCTGCTGTGACAAGCACATCCATGGTTTGTCCTGGGCCGATCATGATGAAGTTGGTCTTTAAGGGTTTTGTGTAGGACGCATCGATCCCCACAAGTGTGAGGTTGTGATGAGCAATCCCAAAAAAGTGTTCTTCGTTCATAGCAGAGTTTATTACGCGAAAGAGATAGGTCTTTCCGTAATCAACCAATGAACGGTACGTTGTTTCTGCATAATATATATGATTCAAATCAATAAATTGAAATTTATCAGTTCCATTAGTTGCTTTCCAGCTAAACAAATCCTTTACTTTAACTTGGAATTTATGTTACTGCATATCTAACCAAATTAAAGGACATGCTCGTTTGAAAATTACTTAATCGAGAGGTATAATAATTCAGCTGTCAAAAGGATGGTTAAACTTGTCTAAGATTTTCCCGGAAAGAAAATTCAAGCAAGTACGGCTGGATAAAACTCCCTCATTGGTGGTCATAAAGAAGTTGACAATTTTAACACTATCTAATTCCAAAGTTTATCATGAATGAGAATACAACTTGGTACGTACCTCTTGAACAATTATAGAAATCTCCAGGTTCACCGTTGATGGTGTAAGCATCAGATTGGTTGGGCTCGCCACCACTTACCAGTGCAGAATTTATTATTTGCTGAACATCCCCCTTGTACCATTCCCCTGCACAGCCATCACCTTAATTTATCATCATGTACTCGGCTAGATAATAACTAGCTAGTTTTCAACAAAAATGTGTATCATCAATGTCGAAAGATATGTACTGACCAATGATGACTGTTTCTTGTCCATGAGGTTGAGGAAAAGGATAAGAGGTGTTTTTTGCAGGGAAGATGAGGATAGCGCCATGGACAGTGGCTCGACTCCAACTGCTATGAGCATGCCACCAGAGAGTTCCTTCTTCAGACGTAAATGTCAGCTTCTGAGTGAAACTTGTTCCCGGCGGGATAGGGCACTGTGTTATGTTCTCTGGTCCATCTGACCATGGGTCCCTTGGTTCCTTTACGCCATGCCTGTTTCGTTAATTTCCTCTCAAAGCCATATCAGTATCTAACAGCTACATATATATCGTAACTTTGAAGAGAGTTACGCTCATAATCATTCATTCATGGGCAAACTAACTAATTACTGACCAATGAATAGTGACCCCGTAGGTTCCATTATTGTGGACAGTAACAAAAGCTGTATCGCCTTTCTGAACACGAATGGTTGGCCCTGGAAAGCTCCCGTTCACTGTTAATATGCTTTTTGTGCTGCACAACTTCGTGAAGTTCTTTTCTTCCACCTGTGCGTAAATATTCACATTTCACACAAGAACAAGTTTGATATATAGTTGAAAATTTCAAAACAATATAAACTATATGTGGTGAATAAATTGATTTAGGTTATGAAACGTATAAATATTAATAAGTATAAAATGTCACATCGTCAAGAAAAAGAACTGGTAAAGATGTGACGAATTTTCATAGTTGGTGGGGTTTTATTTCAAGACTTACTACGAAATCATAGTGATGAACGTTGCCTTGGCTCTTGCAAAAAATCATGAAGCCCAGAAAAGCTATTAGCAAAGCTTGATTTCCCAAGTAATCTCTCATCTTGCTTGCTCTTCTTATTAGCAGTACTTGGAGACAACAAAGCATGTATAGCAGCTTTATATATAATTTCAAGACATTCAGATTTTACCATTATTGCAAGTTACATGTACCGCAAGCTTGGATCTGATGTGTTTCTCAACGATCGATTTTTTTATTTATTTATTCATCTTCTTTGCAAATATATATTATAAAATAGACACTGCTTTGGTACCACTTTATTCTCACTTGAAAGCAATGTTTTCTTTGTAATATATCCTCCTACTTTCCCTAAAGTAGGGTCTACTACTATAATATATCTTATGTTTACTGAAAAAAAAAATTTAGATTCCTAGTAATTTGCAAGATCTCTGATCTAAACATTATGTTGCACAAAAAATGAGTACATAACTTACTTAGTATTGGAGCTATGCTAATTTAATAATGAGTCATGGATTTGAGTTCTAAGTAAGCAAACGTGTAAACGCTTATTATCCCTATGGTCCTTCCCTATCCAAATTATTTGAGGTCAAATATGGCTTCTAGATACTAATTTGGTGGTTTGATGCCTAGTTTTTTTAACAAAATAATATTATGCTGCACATTGATGACGGAATAATTGAGGGATTGACAAATACGCAACAATAAGTATATCTTTGGTCGAATCAGAATATTGATTAATATTTATAAATTACAAAAATATTTATAAGTTGCCAATCAACAAAATCCTTACGCTGCATTAAGATTTGAACCCATAATTTTCTCAGATATGAGTTGCATCTTAATCATCAAGACAATTCTTTATTTTTAAATATTAAAAAAGAATTTAACCAGAAAATATTAAAAACGCCATTCTTTTCATCACACATAAAATATAGTTATGTATATAATATCACTTTAAACAATAGTTTGTATTAAAAAAATTCCTCATTTATACTTTTACTATTTATGTTTCCATTTCATTTATGAAAATCAGAATATATAATTTATTTAAAAGTATTAAACTTTACTTTTTTGGAAGATAAAATTATCTAATAATTTATTTCTTTTTGTCATTTTATTACACAGAAAAAGGGTCTATTTTAACTTTTGACTTTTGGTAAAGGGGCAAAACAAAAAGCAATTCTATTATCTTTTTCTATTCCCATCATCTTTTTTTTTTTTCCTGTGTTTTTTTGCCAACCCCTAGAGTTACATTACTTTGCTTGCGTCTATGATTTAAATTCCCTGGTTCCATAGTGGAGAACAAGTTTGGTCCCCATCACTATACATTGTGCGTCCTGACCTAATAATATTAATTAACTAATAAAGTACTAACTCGTTGAAAATAACACCCCAACCTTTGGTTAATTACTTACCTGAAAAATGCTTTTAGTAGCGTCTAAGAAGCTTGAATATATCATTCGCGTTCTTTTCGCTCACCACTCTTCCATCTGTAAGATTTGACATCTTGACGTTCTTGTTTGGCTCATGGAAATGCAAACAGATTTTCGTGGTCATCTTAAAAGAAAAGCATCAATATCCATCGTTTATCAAAACTTTATTAATTAGTATTTTTATTTTGATGAAGGCTAAATATAAAAAAATAAACTTTTAATTATTATTTGTTAAAAAATTATTACTTTGAGGTTTCAATTTAAGCTGCCCCGACTCCCAATTATCATTTTAAGAACCAGAATGGGAAGATGAGCACCAAAGTTTGACGCTAAGCTTACACTGTTAAATCAAATTTTGTGTTATTTGAACCATTCAAATTAAAATATGCTGGTTTAAGTTTAATTGAATTTTCTCCTTATATTTTTACTGCTTTTATCTTAATAGATTCAACATATAAATTAAAAATATTTTTTAATTGTCATTCTATTTTTTTTTAAAAACCATCACTTGAAAATCAAGAATCAAAGAATATGTTGAATGTATGTTGTCCAAATTATGATTGAATGGTTTGGATCTCATCTCATCAAGAACAGGCATATGATATGACGCTCATCTTGAACATCATGATGAGCACCAAATTAGGAAGCTTGGCTCAAACCATTAGCGCAGATTCTATGTTATTTGCCTTGAACTAAGAATGCGCTTGAAAGTTTGGTATTAATTGTTTGAATAAACATGAAAGCAATTCAATCATTGAAGTTTGATTCTGTCTTATGGTCAAAAAGGGGCTGACAAATTTTAGGCTGAGTATGAAAAATCTGTGGGATCGGAGGATTGGTAGCATGATTTTTCCGCAACTAATTTGCTTAACGTGAAAGGCGCTATTCCTTTTTTTTATTTAAAAATAATAATAATTAGCCACTATATTTAACAAAAGAATTATACGGATCATCATTAATTCAAAGGATCGATCTATGTTGACCACTTCCTTTTAAGAATATAACAAGGAAATTTAACAAAATAATTGCAAAATGACCCTCACCGAACTTGTCGCAGCAAATTAAAGTATGTAGTATTATATAACGAATGATTAGAATGCAAAGCCAATTTAAAAGAAATTAAAGTTTTTTTTAAAAAATAATTAGCCACTATATTTATCAAAAGAATTATACGAATGGAGTAACATTGATTCAAAGGATCGATCTATTTTGACCACTTCCTTTTAAGAATACAACAAGGAAATTTAACAAAATAATTGCAAAAATGTCTTATAAAGTTACAGCTTCATCAGCAAGACGATACAAATTAAGACAGCTTAAGCAAGCTGGCACAGAGAGAGAGAAGGAACCCTTGCGATGAGAGAAAGTTGTGAAATATATATAGGATCAAAATAAGCACTAGATAATTATTAATGCATGATTCAAAATATTATTAAAGTAGAAACGTAATAAAAATTTATCAGGAATTCGGTTCCCTTCTCCTCAGTCAGAGATCAAACTCAGGCTTTTTAATTTCTGGATAATTATCGATGATTCAAAATATTATAGAAGTAGAATGACGTAATGGCTTCATTTGGAGCAAGGAGGCATATACTTCGGAGGTGGAAGCATGCTTGTCTCCTTGGTTTTTCCATCCCTCACAATGAGCACAGTTTCCATACCCCAGCTACCGTGTCTCTCAAAATGACAATGCATAAACCATACCCCTGCAAATTTATGCACAAAATTATGAAACCTCTCTATACTAAACATTATCTGTTGGTCCGATTCAAATAGAAATATTAATGTGCAAAAACTCATGTTAAAAGTTAATAGATTCAAATTCAGGTCATTCCTACTGATCAATGGAACAAATTATTAATAATTTGTTGGAACAATATAGTGGTAAAAGGTAATGTAGAGGATGTACCAGGATTGTTGGCAACAAATCTCATGGCCAGCCAACCATTAAGGGGGAGACCAACAGTGTTAACTTCTGGAGGATCAACGAGGTTATAGGACTTAGGATCTGTCTTATTGTTGAAAACTCCCAGCCCTTGTCCCACAACGTAGTAGCTGAAACCATGAAGATGTATTGGGTGATTCTCAGCAGTATTCAATGAATTATTCGTTCCTTGCCACACTATCTCTACTGAGTCATTGCAGTTCAGCATTATCACCCTCGTTCCCGTGGTCGTAAACGCACTACTGTTAGGATCTGTGAAGTTGACATATGTGGAGGCTCTCTTGGGAAGTCCTTAGTGAAAATCCCCGTTTTATTCCTGCAAATTCAACTTGTAGCTTGCGTTAGAAGCTATGTTTTTATTTGTATGCTAAAACATCCTTTATAACACAAAAAGTGCAAATTCGAGTTGAATTTAGATGCAAAATCGACACAGAAACAGTCAATGAACAAGCAGTGAGAATATCGACAAGTAGTATAATCTAAATTTTAGCACGTATCACTAATAAGCATCCAATATATCAATACTTGGAGTCTGAAACGACACGTTGTTCAAACTAGAAGCGAGCTTAGTGTTCCTAGCACAAGTGGTAGCAATGCATGCCAGACTACTCGCAGCGACTGTCATATAAATCCTCCTATTTACTTTCTTTGGAACTTCAATGGGATGAATCTTACTCCACAAACCCCTCAGTCTCTTAGTGAAGTAAAAAGCAGCAGAAGAATCATTATGTTCAGGGAAATCGGGAAACACCAACGGAGGACGCTGATTATGAGAAGTATTGTAGCTGCCTCTGTACTGCAAAATGGCTGTGGCCGTGGTGTTATCGTACGGAGATGCGCCGTCAAGGAAGGGCGAAGCGACCATGTAGTAGAGACCTGTTTCCTGGTTAGCTTTGAGCAGAACGTCCATGGTCTGGCCAGGGGTTATCACAATGTAAGGGTGGCAAAGGGCTTGAGGTAGGCTGCGTCTGTCCCTGCGAGTGTGAGTGTGTGGTTGGTGATTCCGAAGTAGTGGTTTTCATTCATGGCGGCGTTGATTATGCGAAGGAGATAGGTTTTCCTTCGCACCACTGAAAAACGATGCGTGGTCTCTGCAACATAGATAGACTCCATCAGTTGACAAACCATTTTTATGATCACTTAACTTCTAGGCTTGAACTTCACCATTACTTGACCAACCTTCGAATGACCTAATTTTTAATTGCCTTAGTCTGTGATTAGTTAAGTTCATCAATTTATCGGTCCAATCTGCTGGATCAGTCCAAATATTAAAACTTTGATAACTTTGGTAAATTATTTTACTCTTAGAACAGGCGTACAAGTCTCCAGGTTGGCCATTTATGGGGTAAGCACTGGAAGTATCTGGTTCTCCACCAGTGGCCAAAGCGTTGTTTATATTGTCATCACGTCTCCTTTGTACCACTCCCTAACAGCATACAAATTGTTGATGCAAAATAGTCCGACATTACGAGGATTAAACAAAGATCGAGAGAGAGACATAGATAAACACAAAATGGAACGGACCAATAATGAGTGTTTCAGGGCCATAGGGCTCAGGGAAAGTATAAGAAGCTCCACGAGGAGGTTTGATAACGATGGCTCCATGAACAGTGGCACGGGTCCAATCACTGTGAGCGTGCCACCAGAGAGTCCCTTCTTCGGAAGCCAAATTGATTCTCTGAGTGAAGCTTGTTCCTGTAGGGATGGGGCACTGTGTTATGTTTTCTGGTC